AAACGGGGGCAAAACATGTACAATTAGTCCCGAATCAGTAATTTAAATCTAGCTAAGCATGGGATAAATTTGCAATTAGGCTAAGTACGGAATAAATTTAAATCTAGCTAAGTATGGAATAAATGTAATTTAAATCTAGCTAAGCATGGAATAAATTTGCAATTAGGCTAAGTACAGAATAAATTTAAACTAGCTAAGTGGAATAAATGTAATTTAAATCTAGCTAAGCATGGAATAAATTTGCAATTAGGCTAAGTACGGAATAAATGTAATTTAAATCTAGCTAAACATGGAATAAATTTAAATCTAGCTAAGTATGGAATAAACTTACTTGACACCATAGAGGGGATTTTGCACATTTCTTAGCTCATCATCTGCTCTCTAGTATGGACGTGGGTTTTGAGGTGCAAACATTGGAAGATGCACCCATACCTAGAGCTGGAGGATGAACATCGCACCAACAACTTATTTTACTCCTAGCTTCGAGCAATTACACAGCTCCCTATATAAGCTAGCTAACATGACCGATCCCCAACTCTTTTCCTCGATCGCGTCCCAGTCACCAAGGAGCATTGGCAACCATATGCCTTGAATCCACCTGTTTGACTTGTCGGGGAACAAAAATCAACCGACTAAACCAATGAGATAGATGCGTGCATAGCGCTCCACTTGATCTTCCGGAGTGTCTGGGTCGATTTGAACCTCGTTTTGGATGTGAGTAACGAGCCACAGGATCGACACTTGTCCCGTATTCAACGGTGGATGCCCCGTCCTTGAATTGGTGTGGTGGTTGCCATGTCAAAGCCCAAACGATCACGAATGAATGGCCTCCAACCTGCTTCGGGTTTGGTAGTGATACCAATGATGGCCTCTCCAGTTATCGGACAGCCCGGTGAGGATCGCGACGTCTTTGAGAGTGATCGTCATTTCCCCCTCCGGAAGGTGGAACGTATGGGTTTCGGGGCGCCATAAGCAGATCGTTGTCGATTTCAATCCGCATGAAATGCCTCAACATACCCAACCTAGTCCTCTCTATATACGAAGACAGTCGATCATGCCAAGCAAGCAAGTTAGTTGTCCCTTTATGAATGACAGGAATAAGTGATTCGTACAAAAAAATAGAAAAAACATCGATTTGTTAGTTAAAAGAATGCAAAATAAAACCTTATAAAATAATGAAATAAAGTAAATTGTTGATAAGGTACGTAGTGTATACCGGATTGTTGTAACAAATTGGACGGGAGCGATGTGCTTCTTGATTGGAAATACTTCGTATCGCTTGTCCTATAATGGATATACAATCGCTTGTCCCATAAAGAATGGTGAGGCCGAGAGCTAGGATGTCAAACCACTCCAATTGTATTGGAGGAACGCTTGCTCAACTAGTTGGCCACCGCCTCAACCTCCTCGATTTTTATGACCTCCATAGTTGGCATTGCATCCAAGAATCACCTGGTTTCCTCTCTAACTAGGTTCCTTTGCCCTCCTTGGTTCCCTTTTATTTCTCAATTCATCCTACAAATATCACACTAAAAGGAAACCGACCAAAACCACCCCATAAAGCCAACATACCATTAGCAAGCTACCACCAAACACACATAAAGAGGCATGTGACATAAGGTTTTGGGAAGGAAACCCAAAGTGGAAGATGAATTAACATGAATGACTAAGGGCAAGGCGCAATCTAGGTGATCATAAAAACATAACACAATGACAAAATAACTTGAACTCCTACCCTTAGGAAAAGATGCCACCAAAGTACTACTAAACCTTTTTTCCAATTTGATTACGTAGTTCAAGCGTACTGAAGTAGATGCCACCAAAGTAGTACTAAACCTTTTTCCAATTTGAACAAGTAGTTCAAGCGTACTGAAGTATGCAGAACCATCCACATTTGTCCAAAATCATGTGAAACATATAGAAACAACACCAAGAGCAAAATTCAAACATACACAGGCACAACTAGAAGTGAAAACCTCAACGAGAATTCTATCATACACTAGGTGGGCATAACTCAATATTAATCTCAATTCAATAAAATTTTCCCACCAAACTTCAATACATTCACTACGCAGCATAAAAACATAGTCATGCGCAAGCTAGCAACATCATATTTCATTTGCTCCTTAATTTGGTCAGTTTATGAAAATCCCCAATCTCTCCAACCAAGAACCCTAGAAAATGATTTTCCAAAATAAAAGATGAATTAATTGGATAATAGAAATGGAAACACAAGTAGAATAATAAGGAAAGGTCATAAGACAATTGGGTAGTAGGCCTTTAGTTTTCGGAAAATAGGTTTTCCAACAAAGTGACAAAACTAAAGAAGAAGGAAGAAGTTGCTAGCGGGAGAAGGAGAGGAGATGGTGGGTGGTGTGGACAGAGGTGGACGGTCATGGAATAACCTAATTCTTAAAAGCTCTTAACAGCATCCCAAATCTAGTTTATACAGATTTGCAAGAGTTTATACAATTTTAAAACTGTTATATCAATCTAATGATGTCAAAAGCTTTTTTGAAAGAAAAACTATGTTTAGAGAGGTAAGAAGGCAAAAAACTTAAATTATATCCTTTAAGTATATCTCTTAGTATTTGTCAATGTATAAACCAATGTTATTAAAACCTATCTAGGCCGGTTGGTCAGACTGATAAAATCGAGGCCTGACCACCAATTTGACTCGTAATATACAAAAAATGTTTGCTTTGAGTCGACCAATTGGTTATAGATTGGAATGGATAACCTCTCGAACCGGCCAGTTGGTTCTCAGCATTTCATCAGTCATCGTTGTTTTCGTCACTCTCCACCAAACCCTCTCCCGTCTTTTTCTCTTCTCGCCACCAATCTCAATCTCTCCGCATCATCGAAAGTGGGTTTCTCAATCAAATGCGAGTTTTGAGTAGATCTGGTGGGATGATGCAATGGAATCTTGGAGGAAGATGTATAAAGATTTGCACACTCGGATGGTGATCAGGAAAGACTGTGTAGGGATGATTCGTGGAGATTGGTAGTCGCCATGGATGAAAGAAAATTTTTGAAAATAAAAATGTTGAGGACAACAAAAAGATGAGGATTTTCAATTTTGTGAGATGGGGAAAGGTGTAGCTTGAGCAATGACCGTCACTTAGTGAGATGAGTTGTCTAAAACAGAGGAGTCTTGTGGGGATTCAATAGGGGAAGGGATGAGATAGATAGGGGAAACAAGGAATAGGAAAAGAGTTGAAAACTAAAAGGGTCGGCTGCTCAATGCTCATGCTCTATGCCTCTTGTGTCTTCATTTATTTAATCTTTTTGGTTTTTAATAATCAACTTGTACCGTGGCTCTAGACTGCAAAATGGGCAGGACGATAGGGTTTTTAGATGAATTGGGTCGTACAGGCCTATCAGATTTAGCATTTAGAGATATTTAATGGACCTAAGAATGCTACTCATTTGTTAAATTAATATTTAAAGAGAGTTGATATTATCTGCTTGTTTCTTAGGTATCGGTTCCTTAAAGCTTTTTTAACGGCTAAATACCGGTTAAATTGACAAAGTGTGAACCACTCGTTGCATCGGTTCATTCTCTAGTTCGTTTCAGACAACATTGGTACTAAAAACCTTATACTTATGAGCTACACCTACTAGAGTTAGTTGAGCAAACAAACTGCCAGCTTTAGAAGCCAATGATTTTTCCGCAACAACCTTATACTAAGGCACTTCAAGGTTCCTAACAAAAGTGGATAGTCTGAAACACCTCACCAAAAGTCACAGTAGTACTCCCTATTGCAGAGGAGTTTAGAATCCAGCTATCGATTGATCAATACCATCAAAACTTGGCACATTTAAACACATACACTATAGTGGTTGTCTTAGGAAAGACATCGTACAACTTGATCTGCTATTGTAAAGCCACTAACAGACCAACAACATGAGAATAATGTTCACAAATAGCTATAGTCACAAGACCCTCTAAAATTACATCTCCCTAAGGACCAGTAGTATATGAATTAAGAGATTCTTGCACTTTATCCACCATAGAAATATACTTCTTGGTGCTCATTGCCAATTTCCTCAATTATGACCATACATCACACCAGAAGAGAACATCTTAGACAGATTTGGATACTAAATCTATACCTTAAGTGAAGGGTCATCTTCAAGGTAGAGACTAATAGTTGAAGAGCTCAGAATCTTCATACATATCAACACATACCATTGTGAAACCCAGTTACGCATTCACTCTAGTGGCTTTGGTTCATCCACTACGAAGGACAAAATGTACTCGAAACACATTCTAAATAATCGACATTGTTATACTCCAAAAGAAATCCCCAAATTGAAATTCAAATAAGCAAGGCACTATAGGATGAATGCGCAGAGACCATTTGTGGAATAAAACTAGTCTCCATAGATGAAAACTGAAACAATAGCAACTTCAAGGTGAACCTCTAAACTTAACCATGCATCCCTCATACAAGGAGTACTAACTCAACTTTAAAACGAGCGGCCATGGGGTAGATAAATTTTCTAATAAGACAATATGTATATTAGTCTTTGCATTTCTTCTTCACTTTGTGGGACAGGCAAATTCCATCATTAATCTATTCTACTAGACATAATTGTATATGATTCTAGAGAACTATCTCAAAGAGCTTGACTCACGAGCTTACCGCACCAGTTGGAGCCAGTATTAAAGTCGAGGCTGCAATTGCGGTGATTTAACAGGTTAGATTCCCTGGAACGATAAGCGAGAGTACTTTTTTCACTCTCGTTGTGCCCAAAATCATTTTCTTTTGGTTTACTTAATTTGGGCCCGCGAAAGAAACCATTATTCAAACCACACCGAACAATAAAAATTCATTAAATAATTCCAAACAACTCTCTCTTCAATAAATTTCAAAGATCTATTGACTATTGAGAAAGAATAGAAAGGAAAATATCAAAATTCAATTAGGTGAAATACAAACAACTGAAAAATCCTCATCTATTTTGATTTTTTTTTTCTTGCACTAGATATTTCAATTGTACACGCTCAATGAAGGGAGAAAGGAACTAGGAGGTATAAGGAGCAAGGAGAAAGGAAGGATCTCAACATCCTCAAAAGAAGAGATCTTTAGCATTTCCTTTTTTCTTCTCAAGAAATTTCTCTTTTTCATTCATTTTTCCATTCCGCTCTCGTTGTCTTTGTGGCTACACCCTTGCACTCTTCTCCCTATATCACATACACAATGCTTTAGTTCGAATTTTCTTCTTGTTTTGGCTCTATAGTAACACACATTTCACCGAATTTCATGTTCCGTAGAAGAGTGAAAATTTACCAACCTTATCCCGCCCATCTGTCCTTCTCTTCTAGGGTTTCTATTATCGCTTGCATCTCTTAAAATCCTTCTCCTAATGGATTTTTGTGCCGCTTTTTCGCATGAAGGTGATTTCATTTTTCTTAAATAAATTCTTTTGATCCACTTTTTAATTTACAAGATATATGTGTTCGTGAAAAATTTTAAACTATTACTTGACATTGGCTGAAATCAATATGGGTCATCAAGGTAGTGTTGTTATGTAACTTCCCCCTTTGTTTTTGTTTGTTTGGTGTTTCGATGTTAGTTTTATGAGATCTGATTGTTGTTGAAATTTAAATGTTGAGCATTATGTTTTGTTTGATTTCAACAATTCCTTATCTTTGGAAAAAATTATCCACTTCTTTCTAGTGTTGATTCAATATTGGTGGACTATTTTTTTTTATGAAACTACTTTTTCTATCTCTTGCATTAGTTTGGTCCTGTTTGTCAATTGTAGTTTCTTAGTAACAGAAGTATACATTATTTATTGGTTACAATTGCAGAAGTATAAATTACTATTAGAATTAATGCATTTGTCAAGAATTCCATTTTTGAATAGTGATTTATCTTTCAACGACGTCTCACAGATTCGAAGAGTTATTACCCTTTTTCCATTGGGGTTTTTGTTTAATGTGTTACCCATCTCTCTTCCTCCTTAATGTTCATTGATTGTGTCTTATGGTTTATTGTCTATAATATTCTGCCAGTGATTATCCAATGTAATGTCTCTATTGAATTGACATGCGCTAATTGTGATATTTCACTCTAGATAAAGTTGGTGATATTGGTTCCTTTGATGATTCGTTGATGGTATTTTTATATATGTGTTTTTCTTTATTTGTTTTCTAAATTGTTTGTTCACTGATTGATCCTTACCGAGCTTATACAAAGTGGCATTTATTGTGTTCATTATGACATGGCTTTTCCATCTTTCAAAAAGGATGGCTAGCAACTATTTGTCTTATTTCCTTGTATAAAAATATTATTCCACGACATTTTTTTTTATTCAAAAAGGAGGTTCATTCAAAGAAATAGGTGGAAATGGAATGTGATAAATTCGACAGGCTACATAGATGAGTGAACACTTTTGAACATGGTAATAATGAAAACAAATGATGGTGACAAGTGATTATCATTTGTTGGTCATAGTCTATTTGTCATTAAGTTTTGGATTCAATATCTAACACTTAAGAGAAGTTGCAAGGTTATGGGGATTGATTATTCTATGCACTTAAAGCGCTTCTTCATCATCCTCAATGGAATGAATTACCTTGTTCCGGTTGAATTTGAACATGGTTACTGGTTATAGCTTCCTTTGTTCTCTTATTCAGTGATGGAACTGCTTTATTTGAGGCTGAACTTTGAGTTACTTGAAGGAAGCATATGGAGTTTGAAAATGTGAAGTGTAGTTCCATTTGAGCCCAATACGATGTGGACTGGAGGAATTCGAGTGTTGGAGTGAAGGTGTGGTTGGTTTTAGGGTTGAGTGGAGGAGGTCGTAAAAGAATTCCTTTTAATTTCTCTACCGAGGCCAGGCCAGGCCAGGCCAGGCCATCCATATCTCTTCCAACAGTTAACAACGTGTAGTTTGTTTGTTATGGCTGAAGTCTTGTTTGTACGTATTTCTGCCTCTTGTTGCCTTCCTATCCTATCAGTTATCTAGCTGATGCTCCTAATTTTTGCTTCTAGGTTGAAAGAACATAAATCGGCGAGGCTTGTGAGGGAAGAAGGCAAATAAATCAACTTGGCAAAAAGATTTGGTGGTAAGAGATCATCATTGGCATTCTTTTCTGATTGCAGATGGTCCCTATTGCCAAGGAAGAAGGCAAACAAACAAATCAACCTTATTAGATGAAAATTTATCTACATCTACATAATAATCCTAATCAGGCAGAGGCAGGCACTCCAAATATGGCATCTGGTAATCCATTGTTTGAAGATACGACAAGTAAAGCAGGGGTGGTTGAACTTGATCCTCCTCATCAAGTTGAAGAATTGTGTCAAGGCATGAATGATCCTAATTCACAGCCAAGTATGAAACCTAATATCACTGTTGTTTCTAGCAACTTCCGGGAGTTATTGGAGTGCCCTGTCTGCCTCAATGCTATGTACCCGCCGATTCATCAGGTCGGTCTACCTACACACTCATGATAATTCTCTTCTACTTTAGTAGAAGCACTTCACTTCACTTCACTTCACTCACTGCAATAATAAATTGGGTATATTTTTGTGGTTGCAGTGTTGCAATGGACATACATTGTGTTGTACGTGCAAGCCAAAAGTCCACAACCGTTGCCCCACTTGTCGGTATGAGCTTGGCAACATAAGATGTCTTGCTCTAGAAAAGGTTGCAGCGTCTCTCCAACTTGCTTGTAAATATCAGAGCTCTGGTTGCCAAGCCATTTACCCCTACTACAGCAAGTTAAACCATGAATCACAGTGCGGTTATAGGCCGTATAACTGCCCTTATGCTGGATCAGAATGCACCATTGTTGGTGATATTCCTCACCTCGTAACCCATTTGAGACAAGACCACAAAGTGGATATGCACAATGGCAGTAGCTTCAACCATCGATACGTCAAGTCCAATCCACATGAGGTTGAGAATGCGACATGGATGCTCACGGTAATAGTAGCGAAGCGATTCCCTTCCTTTACTTGTGTTGTTCATCGCCCCGTACTGGATCTTGTTTTTCATTTTGCCCAGGTTTTCAGCTGCTTCGGTCAGTATTTTGGCCTGCACTTTGAAGCGTACCAGCTGACATCAGCCCCGGTGTACATAGCCTTTCTGAGATTCATGGGAGATGATGTTGAGGCAAAGAGTTACAACTACAGCCTCGAGGTGGGAGGGAATGGGAGGAAGATGATATGGCAAGGTGTGCCAAGGAGCATAAGGGACAGCCACAACAAGGTTCGAGACAGTTTTGATGGCCTCATCATCCACAGGAGCATGGCTCTCTTCTTCTCTGGTGGAGACAGGAAGGAATTGAAACTTAGGGTCACCGGCCGCATTTGGAAAGATAAGTAGAGAGGGATTGTCCCCTGGTCCAAAACTAGAGAAACAAGGCAGCTCTATTTGCTGCGAGATTATAGAATTGGCAGCAAGCTTGTGCCCAATTAGCAACACATCTTGTGGCCCTCATTTTGTCCAAGGGAGCAAGTATAGGTGATAGGGCTGGATTTTCCTTGCTCTTCATTTGATTCATGTCTATCCCTACTAATTAAAAGCATACAGCTTCGACAAAAGTGCCTTAACCTCTTGCATTACAAATAATATCGAAGATGGTACTTCTCAGCAAAATAAATATTGAAGATAGTAGCTGTCAAGTATCTCTCGAGCTTGCCATCAATGAGAAGGGCACACTATAACTCTTTAAAACTCCTTTTTATCGTCTCTGACAAACGATAACAAAGCGAGATCAAGGTAGGAGCAGGACCTAGGGCAGAAGCTCTCTCATGTGCATTTAGCCAAGTATGCATCCCAACCTTGAAGCCGGTATTCACGAGCCGCTTCAGAAGGATTTGCAGCCTTTATAATCCCACGACCCACAATAATGATGTCACTGCCCCTATCGAATATAACCTGGTGGAATATATTTTTATCTCTGTCAGTAATGGTTCATTAACAATCATGGTAGACATAAATCTGAAACTTCTGCCGTTGAAAGGATGCCAAGTTATAAATCAGATTGCAACTGCCCACATCGACCAGAAAGACGACCAAGAGTTTTGCAAGGCAACTTACAGAATATGGGGTATTGTACTGCTGGCCAAGCGCATCGCCACCTTTCACCATTTGAACTCCAGGTGTGGCCTGGATAAATATTGGATTGACTGGCGCTCCAGGCCAAGATGCAGGATTAACAGAAATAAAGCCAACAACGAAATCGGAATGCTGTTCAGCAATTTTGACTGCTGCTGCAGTGTAGTCCCCTGTTGCAAAGTTACCAGCTGAGCTCATTTCAGCAAGCAGCAATAGACCTCTGCCTTTAGGCAACCCCTGATTAGAAGAACCACAAGAGATGGACAACAGTTAGATATGGCACTCAATCTGGCTCCCTGAGTTCATCATCTGCAATTTCAATTCAAGCTTTTTGGAGGCAAACCTTTAGCTTCAGTCCATCAACAATTCCAGGACCGGAAATAATGTGACAGTTAACTATATCAGCCCATTCCAATATCCGGAATATTCCTCTGCAAACAAAAAAATACAAAAGGGCTCAGCGTTGTTTATTATTAAGCATTTCAGAGATTGGAAACACAACTGCAGGAAGCCATATCTCACCCTTCATATTGCATTGTCACTGTGTTACCAATGTCTGCAAACTTACGGTCTTCAAAAATCATGAAATTGTATTTATCTGCAATCTGAGCAACAGACCAGTGCATACATACAGTGTTAGTTCCAGTTACTGATAGACATAAACTTACAGTTTCCTATATTTGAAGTATGAACACATGACTGCAATCTCCACACAAGCAATTACCCCACCCAGCTAGCTACTCGCATTTTGACATGATTGGTGTGGACGTGTGGTTAAAGGCTATTAAAAATGAAAGAAAGAAAGAAAGAAAGAAAGAAAGAAAGAAAGAAAGAAAGAAGTGGGTAGTTGAAAATCCATGGTAGCAACTAGCAAGTTAAGATTATTGGAATAAACTGAACGTGAACTCAGCAGCAGCTGAGCTATTTCTATCAAGTAAGATCCCTTCATGGGGAAGTTGGCCATCTCTTCTGTGCAATTGGTGATACCAACTGAGGAGCATTATACATTCTGCAAATCAACAACTCAACTGATCTTGGAAAACAACAAGTCACTAGACAAACTAAAAGTGAATTCAGACATTCACCGGACATACTTGCACCACAACCATAACTTCCAACATAGTTGCCAAACTGAAAAGAAGCAAAAGTGTAGGAAGACATACCGCTCGTAATTTCGAACCGAAGTCAGGAGTGAAGTCGGGCAATATGTCAACATGGGTTTTCAGCAAGCATATCTCTGGTCCAACCTAGACAAAAAAGCCAGCATAAGAGCGAGAAGAAGAAAACATTCCAGTGGACCATGTCAACTCCTAGTCTCATCCACTGATTCCCTGCAAAGACTGGGCACAAAGAAGAAGGAAATCAAGTTAGGTGATAGAAAATCCAACAAACGTCTCACTTTCTCCGCGAGTTCAAGCAGCTCTTTCGCAGTCCCAACATCAGCGGCCAAACACAAATTGCTCTCTTTCTTCACCATCACTTCAAACAACTTCTTTCCAGTTGGATTCTTGGCAAGCTTCGCCCTTTCCGCCAAACTCAAGCCTTTCACGCTGATTTTCTTCTCCGCATTCGGCACAGCGGCCACTTTCTTGTTCTCCTCCAAGAACTTGATAACTTGCTTCTCCACATCTTCCCCCAGCTTCCCTTTCTCCCTCAAAACCCTAACCATATCAGTCAGCTTGATCATGGCGTGCAATTTAATCCCGTTCTCCTCCAAGTTCTCCATCCCGCCCTGCTCCCGATCAATCAAGACAACCGCGTCCGTGACCTTCAATCCCACCGCACGCAGCGGCGCCGCCGTTTCAAGGACCGAAGTCCCGCTCGTCACGAGATCCTCAATAATCAGGCATGTCTGGTTAGCTTGGAAGTGGCCCTCGATGGCCTTGGCGGTGCCGTAGTCTTTAACCTCCTTGCGGCGCATGACCATGGGGATGTTGTTGGAGAGGGACACCGAGGTGGCGATTGGGAGGGCGGTGTAGGGGACGCCGCAGACGAGGTCGAATGCGACGGAAGCGGTGGTGACGGAGGAAACCAAGGTTTGAGAGATTTGGGCGAGGAGGGATGGGTAAGAGATGATGAGGCGGAGGTCGATGTAGATTGGTGAGAAGATGCCGGATTTCAGCTTGAAGTTGCCGAACTTCACGGCGGAAATCTCGTGAAGTTGGAGGATTAGTGACTCCATCGATGAAGCCATGCCACCGGAGGATAGGGATGGAGTTGAGAGAGCCGCCGGAGGATAGGGATGGAGTCGGAACAGAGAGTTGGTAAAGAGCTGCCAAGGGGTTTTGGAGGAACTAGAAAAGAAGAGTTGAGTAAGTAGGGTTTTTCGTGCTGCCGATATCTCTGGGTTTTTATATTTTTTTTATTTTACAATCACTTTTATTTATAGTTTTGGAAATTGCTCTTCGTTTTTCCCCACTCCCTGTTTTTCCCCACTCCCTGCTTCTTTTGGGTTTTATTACGTTTTCCGAAAATTGCTCATATTAGATAAATCGTATACTCTCTCAAGTTTCCCCTGCTAGAAGGCTAGAATAAAAAGTATTGATTTCTTTTTAGTACAAGAAGGAAATAATAGACAACATGAATTAACGAAAAGTTACAAAACCCTACGGAAGTGAATTCCTCTCGTGTCAACTTCCGAGATGGTGGCTACTAGCTGGTGGTTGTCATCTTGGTCGGTACAATAGGATTCAAACTGTACTAGTTATAAAACATTAAAACTGATGGAAATGCATTCGGTATGATCGATATGATCCATTTTCGATCTTCAAACAAAATGGTGGCTAGTGGTTGTCATCACCACAATGCTTGTATCAACCCCGTCCTTCTCATCTAGCATCTTCTCTACGTCGTAATATCTTTTGAAATACTTCCTTCGCTTGCCCATTTTCTCTAGAATTATGAATAGATGATGTTGCCAAGGCGGATACTTGCTTCGGCGTTGCATAAGCAGCTCCCCCTAGGTCTCCTAACATGTGCCCTCAATGATCGGTAGCATACGAGTTACCAATTTCTTATCTCATTAGATCCCATCTTATGTCAAATCATTTACCCAAAATAATAGACCACAAGGACCCTTTGGATTTCTCCCATGAGACATCGCGTCGTTCGATGGAATGAAGTTCGATCGAGTATGACTGTTATTTCTAGTTCCATCCTAAACGACTGGGTGTTCGATCCTTGCACCTCGAAAGAGTGCGGATCTATTGTAAGCTCTCATTCGAATCAACAAATAACGAAAATAGAGGAAATCAAGCATTACACATATGAAAAGCAAACAATCGTATTAAACCAAATCATCGAGTTTACATGAGTATAACCCCTAGGGTTCACATACCTACGCAACTAAGAAACTTAGCCGGCCACGGGAAGGGGTTCCTGGGTGTTCCATCAACGGAAACAAAGATACCAGGAGCCCCACTAGAATTAGCCCCTATAATAGAGAAAACAGGACCAGGGCCGTGTTTTGGATGCTGATTTCCCCTCGTAGGTTGGTCTTATTGTAAATCGGGAGGGTTGCTCTGTCGGCAGAGTAACGACCCTTCCTTGAACTCTCCTCTCCTACTCCTAGAACTCTACCTATATAGCTCTATTTATAGGTCTTCGATTAGGCTTTCTAGGGAGGAAAACTCGCAGCTCATACATCATTTAGCCAATTAGAGCGTTCCAAACACGTGGCCACCAAATCAGGATGCTTTGGGATAACTTCTTGATAAAGTGGACGAGCTCCCTAAAACGGAGTCGTGGCCGCCTTTTTTCCTTAATCAAAATAGCACTCCAAATACCATTTCACTCATGTGTCCGGTCTTCAAATACTAGCTCTAGCAACTTGGTCTCGATTTCCCTTACGGCTTCCAAGTGGTCTGCTAGACTATTTTGCCATGAAAATGCACAGAATGCTACCAAAAGCATATAAATCGTCTAAAAGAAATCCTAGGGTTGATACAACACACTTGAGGCAATCATGTCATAGTTTCAAGGTATTATGACACTATTGATGGAAAACGTATGCACTTTGGGTCACAATACGGGGTCTAGAATAAATACTTTCACGTTTCAAGGCAATCATGTCATAGCTATATATTGACCCCTTTTTTCAATAAGAGCAGAAGACTCCTTCATTTGAGGAGTAGTTCGAGAACTCACAAGGGATGATATGCAACACCACTCCATACATTTTTTCTTAAGGTGGATCCAAGTTTCACGACAAAGACATACTTTATAGCCCCTACACTAGCCTCCCTTAGATCATGTGTTAACGTAGA